TCGTAACAATATGGCGCACAATTTAGAAGAAGCACATAGCTTCGTTGAAATCGGTGCTGTCTCTGAAAAAAAAAAAAAAAATTAAGCAGTCACACCATTACACAAAGAAGTTTCTCTCGGTTTTAGGATTCACTCATCTGATGTGTTATGTGGCACAAGTTGGTGGCTCATAATTTCGCAGCGTGTAGTGGGATCCGAAAGGCGCGATGGAGGCAGATCTCGCCCGAATATTCAAGTTGGCGAAGCGCTTGCGACTGTACATCATAGCCTTGTGGTATGCGCAAAGATAAAATAACATGTGATATAAGGGTAGTTTTGTTTGGTGTTATTTATGACTTACTATTTGTTTTGTTTCATTCTGTGTTTACGTTGGATGTATGCTCTCACACAGCATACCCTAAGAGTGGCTAGAAGTGCGGCAGAAGCCAAATAGTCTGCAAGTTGCCATTTCTTGGATGCCGTTCGTCAGTCAAACAGATGACAAACAAATATATCGTGATTTGTCGTGAATATTCATTTATTTATAATCGCCGATGAACTTTCGAGGATTTTCGAAAAGACAGATCCGAACGAGGGGCATCTGATTGAGCTGGAGAAGGAATTAGTACAAAAAGATAAGCGTGGTCAGGACAGCAGCGAACTCGGCAATTGCGCTGGCCCATGAGACGTATCGCCACGCCTTGCCGTCCGGCATCAGCGAGTCCATCAGTGAGGAGATGCGGACGGGCTTCATGGAGCTGATGAAGGGCATCATCGAAGTTCTCAGGCCACGAGGGAACCACGCCGGAGAGCCCAACTCTGCACCAGTGCCACCAAGACCCTTCGTGCCGCACCCGGAAACAGGCGTCATCCTGAAAGACCGCAACTTTCAGCCGGAAGACTAGAGTTCCTACAGAGTTCCTACTCATAGATTGTTCACGAGTTTAAGCAAAAAAACGAAATCAGCCTTTCCCCTTCACCTTTTTCGGTCCCTTCGATACAAGGTACCGTTACTGCCGCAAAAACTAATTTCGTCTTTCGATCTAGTTTGCATTCATTATCAGAAAGCTTAAAATATTTGTATGGCTTCGATTCCTTCGATTCGGATATAATCGTATTTTCAGCAACATGGTTAAATTCAACCATATTTGATTTTGAAGTTTATTCGAACTATTTCATTGTGCATAGAAATAATCGGTTGTCTCAGTTAATTTTTCCATTACGCGATACTTATATCACATTCTTCTATGTTCCTCCTTCTGATATTTGATTTTATGTGAATCATATTACTTCTGTTAAAGAAGTTTCTACTCATGTGTTCTATTTATCGTGTTGGGTGATTTTAATTTACCGAACATCTCTTGGTCATTATTCACTGTCGAAAATTATCTAGTACCCTCAGCACAGCATGACTTTATCGATTGCATGCTTGACCTTTTGTTGTTTTAAATCAATTTAATTTCTAATTTTTTGAATATAACACTTGATCTTGTATTTGTCAACGTTTACCTTATTGCTAATGTGTCTAGGTCCCCTCTCTTATTTCTTCCTGAGGATGTATATCATCCTACTTAAGAGGTTGCAATGTTCAATTGCATTCCTCTTATTTCTCATTCATCAGCTACCAATAATCTCCTTGCTTAATCAAGGTATTCATGCAACTGATTGGTTTCTTTTATATGACTCGGTTGGTCTGAATATTGCTGTTAATATTTTCTCTAAACTCCCGATGTTTGTTTTTCAAACTCAATTCTTGCAATTGTTTCTTCAAAGCCACCTTGGTTTACTCCAAGACTATCAAACCAAAAAAATATTAAGTGTAAATATTTTAAAAAAATTGATGAGTCTGTTTCGAATATTGACTGGGCTAAATATTGTATAGTCAAGTCAAACTTATTTTTTCTGAATTTTCAGTGCTATGAGAATTTTCTTACTCGTTGCAAAAGACAATTTGCCTAAAATCCAAGACAGTTTTATAATTTTGTAAACTTGAAGCGTAAGTCTTCAAGTTTGTCTACTTCTTTTTCTCTCTGGATGGTTAAAGCTAGCAATGATTCTGATTTTTTCCAATCAACTTTCTCTTCCGTATGTCCTAATAATCATTCTTACCCTTATAATATAACTTCCTCTAGTTTTATACTTGCTCCTATTATTTCCCATTCGTCTCTCGTTTCTGCTATAAATTCTTTAAAGTCTTCTTACTCTCCTGGGCCGGATAGTATTCCTAGTTGTCTACTCAAGGAGTGTAGTTCTTCCCTTCCGCGTCCATTGCTAAAGCTTTGTAATCTATCCCTTGAATCTTCTGCCTTTCCATCTCATTGGGATAAATATATATTATATATTATATTCCCCTCCGAAAGAAAGGTGAAAAGTCTGATATACAAAGTTACGGGGGCATTGCAAGACTGTCCGCTATCTCTAAATTATTTGAAAAAATAATTAGTTCGAATTTGCAGCATTTCTGCAAATCAGTTGTCTTCCCTGCTCAACATCGATTGATAAAGATTCGGTGAACTACGACCAGTTTGCTTGAATTTACTTCCATGGTTAATTTTGCATTCCTTTCTAAAATGCAAACTGATGTCATTTACACTGACTTCAGTAAATCGTTTGACTCTTTTAAACATGATATTTTACTTCTTAAACTTGACCTTTTAGGTTTCCCTCCGCCTCTTATTTAAAAGGAAGGACCCAAAGAATAATGCTGACTACCTAAAAACAGGTTCACGTTATTTATGATGTTCCTCGAGGTATCTTGGACCTTTACTCTTTACACTTTTTATAAATGATCTCACAATCCCGTGTACTTATGTATGCGGACGATGTGAAACTTATTCGTTCATGCACTAATCCCCTACATAACTCTCGTCTACACGATGATTTGAACCTTTTGCCTTACGAGGTTTAAACTGGGACTCCAATCTTCGACTGCCATCCTACTCCAGCAGGCATCTTCTTTTTTTCCGTCGTTAAACAACCGTAGGACAAACCTCGTTGTTGTCTTCCTACATAAGTTGATTGTTGGCGACATAGATTCTTCCTTTCTGTTGAGGCGTCTTCATTTTTCTATTTCGTCTAGACCTACCAGGAATTATCGCCCCTTATTCCTATCTACGTGCACAATAGATAATGTTATATACAATTATAGTTTGTATCACATTCTCGTCACCGAACACTCTCTCCCCGTAATAAAATCGTTGCTTTCAGGATAACTTCGGGAACTCGCTGACCATTCCCAGCTATGAGCAGGGGATCGGTGATTCCCCATCACTTTCTCTTTATCCTATCTACTTAATACTCTGTATATCTATTATTTCCTTACTTTATTAATAATTTCTCTCTTATTTTTTTTTCATTTTTTTTATTTATTTCCTTAAATAATATAGTAAATTAAGATTATTTTCAATTTTTACTTAAGAACACTATTTTCTCTTCGCACACCGAATCGGACAACTATCCGGGCTCTCTGGCCTCTTCCTTCGGCCTGGGGCGAAAAAAAAACGACCTTGGAACGGACTCCTTCTGCTGGACAATTCTCGCTGTCGGAGTCCCGTCTGGCCGCGCCTAGGATCTCCGGGCCGGGGAACATTTTGGTGGGCCTGGTTGGCGTTCTTTGGCGTGGAACTCGGTTGCCTTATATCGTTTCTTGGGCTGTTTAGATATATACATTTTTTCTCTTTGGCGGTTTAAGTTTCGGCGTGTACATTTTTGTATTTTTAATTTTTTTTTTTGCGTTTTATTAAGTATATTTATTTTTTTTTTTTGGTTTTCGTGCAGCACTAGTTACGGCTGTCTGGCAACTTTTGTACATGTAGAAATTTTATGCATGTTTAGGTGTCCTCGCCGGCAGGATCATATGTTATTTTCTATGTGAGTTTCGTGATTTTAAAATTAAATTTTATTGATGCCTCGACCGCGGAAATGTTTATTTTTCTTTTCTTTGAAGACATTGAAACTTAGTTAAGAGATATTCTGGCAGCACACCCGCCGTTGACCGCTGACAAACTCGAACTCCCTGCTGGGCATCATCGGTGCCGAATTTCAGCACACGCATACATCGAAAAGTGGTCACCGTTGCTGCCCATGTGCACTGCTGCATCACTGGGTCAACGGCCCAATTTAAGGCCAAGGGCATTACGAAGGGCACCCGATTCGCTTCCCTCCTATTCTCTTTGTGAGCGAATCGGTTGGCCAATCGCAGTCGCCCTTCTGCGTTCTCCCGCTTAGCGCAGTGGATCGCAAGATGGACGTTGCCACCCTCCGCGTATTTCTAGTATGAAATTTGCCCCTCGCTTTAGCAGTGGAGTATGTAAAGCGTAAAGATATGCACATACATACAGAAGTATGAGTCTGCAATGTGTCGGCATAGAGGTGAGCAAATTTTGACAATGAACAGGATGGGATTAGTGCATTCCTACTTTTCTTGATTGATTTTTGCGTCCACAGAAGGTAAGGGCGATGAATTTTCTGCTGCTCATAAAAATGGCTGATGTCTCCTAGGCTGAAAAATCCTTTCCTCAAAAAAACAAGCTCGTTGTGACCGCTTTGAAATGTTTTCCATATTAAATTATGCCTAAATTGGATGTTGTTAATGGTAAGTGAGTTGAAAAATAATTTGGTTCAGGTTGTGGATTCAGAGTCAAACTTCTGTGCAGCATTGCTGACGGCCCATCACCTGCATCCTTCTTGTGTGAACGTCCGCCACTGCAATCGCATGTTGTCACATGTAGGACGACTTCTCGCTTGAAACTAGAGGTCCTGCAGCGGATGAAGCAAGCGCAGTCGGTACCGACGCGAATGAGGGAAAACCCGATATCCGTTGCCAATGAAACGTCGATAAGACACACAGGACAGCACGGGTCGTATAGTGTTCTAGTGTCGAATGACGCCTTGTAGTTTTAAAACTCTTCTCATCGGCTTCCCACAGGCCGCCCATATGCAAAGCGCTAGGAGGGTCAAAGTGCCAGGAGAGTTTTTGGTGACTAAATGTTGCCTGGATTAAGCACTTCCACAAAATGGCGCTAATGAAGCTTGGCAGCTGTGTCGAAACTTGTGCCATTATCGGAATTTTTGCGCTGGGCACAAGCGTCCTCTTTAGTCAGTTCAGTGTATGGCCTTGGTGCTAAAACAGATAAAGACGCACACATAACGCATTACGCAGATTTTGCAGGATTTAATTTGACCAAATTATTAATCTTTGGGAAGCGGTACTGTGATATTAGACGCATCGTCAGCTGACTGCGCTCATGCACGGATAAGTGATAAGCGAACGCGATTAAAAGACGTGAGAACGCATACGTGTACGGCATTATTGGATGTCGCTCATCGTAGCTGAACGCTTCGGAAGCGCCTACAACGCCACATGCTCGAATGATTCCCTTGCTAGCGACCGCATGCTTGAATGATTCCCTTACTATCAAGAGATTCAAATTAAGGAGCTTACTAGAAGTGAGTGGTTTTTTATTGCTTAAGCAAGTGAACTCTGTTACTGGGTGAGGTGAATGAGTCTATCTTGTGCATAATAAATCTCGTTGCCTGCAAGTTCTTTTGTTAAGGGGAATGACAATCTTTTGCAACGCTTGAATAAATGAAACATGTACGCCTACACTCTGTTGAACTTGTAAAAGCGTTCGAGACAGGAGAATGAGGGAGCCGTGTTAGCGAGCAATCATATTTGGCTTGCATAGTTACAAGACCACCACTGCTCCAAGTGCCTTGGTTAAGAGCTTTACAAAACAGGTCCTACTCATGTTCTACCTTTTCCAACAGTGTCTTAATCTGATCTCGTCTGATTTGAAGAGTGAACAGTTACATGTCACGCTGTGTGCTGCGTCACTGATTTTCGATTCGAACGGAGACGGGTATTTATCGGGCTAATATTTTTTTTTTTTTACTTATTGAGTTTTATATTCTTAAGCATATAAAACAACAGCCGTTCCAAAAAGTAAATAACTGATTTTACTGTTGTTGTCGATTAAATTTTAAAAGTTAGACTAGCGCATAACCAGCAGCTAAATTGGGAATTGTCGGTGCGCGTCTCCAGCAAAACAAGCACACAAGCCCGTGGAACGGCCACCGCTAAAGTTTGTACGGAAACCGAACGCAAAGACAACATCGGGTGTCACCTTGTACATGGCGGCGAGCTTCTCGCGAGTCTCCGTTTTATTGACCGACGAGAGTCCCAGGTGGAGCACATCGCAGACCTTTTGTTTCCTGGCAATCAGACGGTTGGTCATGAACTTGCGGGTGCGGATTATGGCAGTTGTACCAGTCGACATTTGACGGATCTTTTAATACAGTTGAAAAGGTTTTAAGCACGTCTGCTGTGCGAACGCGATTCTTTTGAAAAGTAAGTGGTCTCACAGTTTGACAAGCAGTTTTTGGTGTAACTTCGACCTTGAATTTTTCAAGAACCACTCTTGGTGAATTTACAGGTCACTTTGAATTCTTATCGGACGGTACTGTGAGTCGTTCTTAACTGTGTTGGTCACCACCGATTGGCATACTATGCTCTTCACAGAGCCGAAATTGTTAACAACTGAGTGAGATGCGAACAATAAATTTATTCTTTCGAGCGACAGTGGAATGAAAAAAAAAATAGCACCCAAATGTTACAATTGAGAACAATATCAGAACAAAGAATCGACTTGAAATGACAAGATTGCCTATTGTATTGAGTTCAAAAGAAATTGGAAAATTTTAAGAAACAAATAATTGCTAATTAATTTATTTATTCGAATAATAATTTGTTTTTATTGTTTTTTATAACAAACAAATATTAATGACTTTTGATAGGCAGTGCAGTGCAGATGTTCCAATAATAATTTTGAATTTTTGTCCATAAATTTTAGATATCAATGAAAAAAGGGATTTTTTTTTTTTATAAGTCTAACAAGCAAGTGTGGAATCGTTCTAAATATATGTACATCGAGGTCGTAGCCCTAGTTCCTTGTTTTCTTTATTGCACTTGACAAAGAAATCATCAGCAAAAATATATTTAATTCTAAAACTTTTGTGTGGAAATAAATAAATCTGTATCGTAAGACCTGCGAATCGTAACTGTGTTATGTCCTTATTTGGATGTGTGTATTTATATTGTTAGGTTTAAATATGCAGGAGTGATGTGTATACATTTATACAATGTATGCAAGTACGTACGGATGTACTTGCATACATCAATATGGCGATTGTTTTGTTTTCGGGGGTGGGTTTGTTCATATATGTAATTTTTTTCTCTCACCATGGTTTCTTCGCTTATCTTGATTGATTATCTTTTTTCGAAAAGTTCTTTCACTTAAAAATCCACCGATGTTTTGCTGGGTCGAACTCGATGCTCGCAAAAATGTTCGATCACTCTTGGGCTGAAAAATTCTTTCCAAAGAAAAAAGCACGTTGTGTGCGGTTCGAAATCTTTTCTTTATTTAATTAAGCCCACATAACATGTTGATTATGGTAAGTCAGGGACAAACTTCATTGCAGTATTGGTGACGACCATATACCCTTCTTAAGTGAAAGTGCCGTCCTCCTTGCAGTATTTGAATAAAAAAGGAGAAGGTTATGGTTCAGTTCACTGGTGAGCCCAGGATCCGGACAATACTCACCCGAGCACCGTGTTTTGGGACAATAGTGCCCCACCTTGGCTAGGCATATATTAGCACCCAACACCAATCTTATGTTGGCAAAGAGTTCGTTCAGCTTCCCCTTGATGCGGTTGGACGGAGTCCGTCATTGAATCGCGGGAGTCATTTGTTGTATGACACCCGTGCAAGCGCTGTCGGTACCGACGCGGATGACAGAAAGCCCGATGGCCGTTGCCAATGAAGCGTCGATAAGGCACACAGGACAGCACGGGTCGTATAGTGTTCTAGTGCCGGATGTCGCCTTGCCGGTTACGAGACGGATCATTGCTCTCGGGAGCACGGTCGTACAGTTAGGTTCCATTAAGGTGGACAGCGAGATGGAGCCGGCAGTCAAAGGCGGCATGTGGCGGTGCGCTTGGGTTTTCCTGATTCAAGCTGGAGGGGATCGCTCTGTGGACTGTGATGGCGTGCAACGCTGTTCGGGGAAGTGCAGCCTGTGTGATGGTCGCCCTGGCAATTGTTACACTTGTCTTTGCGCCGACATGAAGTCCCGAAATGCTGGTGGGCCAAGCAATTTGGACAGTATGAATCACATGAATCGTTGGTACTTTCGCAACGTTCGGATAGGGCATTCTGTGGAGACATCGTGCTGCTTAATGAAGGAATTAAAAGGTATATAATGGAAATTAATTAAAAAAAGTTCCCTTGGCAGGGTTTGAACTCGCAACTGACCGCATTACTTGCTGCCGCCTCTACGCAACAGCCACACCAGCCAAAAAAAAAAGTTTCCTCGGCAGGGTTCGAACTCGTAACTGACCGCGCTACTTTTCGCCACCTCTGCTCATTAGGCACACCAATAATTAAGTTTTTATGAGAAAAAAACGAATTAAAATAGCAGCAAAGAAAACAAGACAATCGCAATTGCAATGATGTTGATAGAATTCAAAGACGACGCGCATGAATGTGTGTGTGGAATTTGTGCTAGCTGCTGCTTACACGTGCGCACATAACTTTTGTGTTTCTTAACCGATCTTAATGAAATTTTGGTTAGTACATCTTATTGTACTATAAAATATTAGTGTATTCTTACAATGAAAATTGCATTTAAATGGTGGCTTATATTGGCTTGCAGCACAAATTGGTTTATTAACTTGATATATATTTTTTTTATCTTATCGACTACTTGGAAACGGGGTAAGTTATCGAATATCGAAAACAAACTCGATCTGCGCGGGCACTAGCAGAATCTACAGCTTAAATTTCAAGTCTCTAGCTCTTATAGGTTCTGAGATCTTTGCGTTCATACATACGGACGGACGAACAGACAGATTGACATGGCTAGATCGACTCGGCTATTGATGCTGATCAAGAATATATATACTTTATGGGGTCGGAGATGCTTCCTTCTTGCCTGTTACATACATTTGCACAAATTCATTATACTCTTTTTACCCATTTTCAATGGGATCAGGGTATAAAAAAGAGGAGTTTCAAAATTCTTCTCACCGGCTTCCCACAGGCCGTCTATATGCAAAACGCTAGGAGGGTTGGAGTGCCAGGAGAGTTTTTGGTGATTATATGTGGCCTGGATTAACCACTTCCACAAAATGGTGCCAAAGGAGTTTGGCAGCTGTGTCGCAACTTTAGCCATTGTCGACATTTGTTTGCGCTGTGCACAAGCGTCATGCCAGAAATGCCGCTAGGAATTTCTCCGTAGTCAGTTCAGTGTATGGCTTTGGTGCTAAAGCAGATTAAGAAGCACACATAACACTTCGTGATAGGTCACGATTTGTGTAAAAAATCGACTGCTGTGTGAGTGAATGGCCGAGAAAATGTAACTCTCTCAACAAGTAAGTCGCTCATGAGCTCCGTTTGTAAATTTTTTGGTTGGATTACGCAGATTTTGCAGGAGTTTATTTAACCAAAACATTAAGCTTTGGGATCCAGTAATATGATCGTAGTAGACGCATCATCAGCTGATTGCCTCCATATAGGAATATGCGAATAAACGAAAACGAGAACAAGAGACGTTAAAATGTTAACGGTTACGGCAGTATTATCACATGTCACTCATCGTAGCTGAGTATTTTTGAAATTCCTACACGACCATATGCTTGAATGATTTCCTTGCTATCGAGAAAGGGATTCAAATTAAGTAGCTAGCTAGAAGTGAACGGGTTTTTACAGCTTAAGAAAGTGTGCATTCATTCTGATAAGTATTCATGTTTTTGGGTGAGGAGCAGAAGTCGATCTTGTGCCTAAGAAATCTTGTTGTCTGCAAGTTTTTTTGTTGAGGGGAAAGACAATCTTTTGAACTTGACTTTTGTTGAAGTTGGAGAAGCGTTTGAGAAAGGAGAATGAGGTAGCCGTGTTAGCGAGGTTTACTTTAATCACGCGTTTCTGTATGTTTGTATCTTGCAGGGGTTCGGTTGGAATTAGCCATTGATTTCGATGCAGAAGTAGCCATTCTGACCCATGAAACCACAGCTCGTTGTTTACCAGCTCGTGTGGTGGGCACCTCTACTTGCTAGGTCAGCGGTTGGTACTCGGGTCGAACATGGGCATTCTTCGCCACTATATTTGCTACAAATGTATTCCCTACGCATGGGAGCTTATGAAGCCAGACTATTGTGGAATCTCTCCAATGGAAACACTTAACGCCCGGGGAAGGTAGCTGGGGGATGACTACAGTCAACAGTTCGGACAAAAGAGCTGCACCGCACAACTCCAGACTACAGCGTTTTCGCTGTAATGAAGTCGACCCATGTAAATGACAGCTCGTATGCCCGCTGCGGAGCGTCACAAAACCCAGGGTATTGCATATTCCCCTCTGGGTGGAATTCGACCCATTTCTTTTTAATGAATACATGCCACTTATTAAGAAGACCCTCAGGTTGTGGATCGTCTCAGCACGAACCCCGAACAAAATTGTGTTATTTATTTTAATTACTGTGTGTGATTATAAGAAAAATTAACAAGTGGACAAGGGTTATATTCCATCGAAAAGTTAAATGACGAAAATTACGTGGTGTGGTCAGTGCAAAATAAAAGCATTTTGGTACAAAACGATCTATGGCCGATAGTGAGCGGAAGAATTGTTGAAAATGAAGGGGGCCAGCAAGAAAAATTGCGTTATTTAAAAGTTTGCTATGACTGAGTATGCCAGAAGGTGCAAGTGTGCAAAACTATGTGATCGAGTTTTCCAACATAGTTGAAAAATTAAAAGAAATCGAAGTGAATATAAATAAAGACATGCTCACAGTTTTGCTGTTAACGGGACTAGGCAAAAAGTTCGAAAACCTTGTTGTAGCGATCGAAACGCGTGAACCGCTGCCGTCCTTGTCAGATTTGAAAATCAAGATTATTGAAGAAGGACAAAGACAACAAGTGAACAACGAAGAAGCGGGTAATGGCATACAGCAAGCGTTTGTGTTGCGTACAAAGGAGTGAAAAATGTCATAGATGCAGCCGCGAAGGTCATTTTATTGCTGAGTGCATGGAAAAAGAGAAAAGTAAAGAAGGCAAAGAGAGAAATGCTGAAGTGAAACGATCGTTAGCCAAATTTGCGAATGTGCAGAAAAGCGACAACTTGACAAAATCGATGTGGTGTCTGGATAGTGGCGCCACTGCTCACATGTGTTGTGATAAGTAATTTTTCGTAGAAATTAGAGAGCACAAAGAGAAGATATTGCTTGCAGGAGAAAATTTCATAT